AACGAGTGAATCGCAATGCGAAAATGAAAATCGCAACATGAAATTAGTTTCGCGTTGCGATTTTCATTTTCGCATTGCGATTCACTCGTTGCGATTTTCATTTCGCATTGCGATTCTCTCGTTGCGATAGTCATTTTCGCGTTGCGATAGTCAATTCCGCATTGCGATAGTCATTTCCGTGTTGTGATAGTCATATTCGCGTTGCGATAGTCAAATGAATGTCTAATAAGTGATAACAACTGAACTTATCATAGCAATGTTCAAACTCAAGTTACTAATACATGCCTAACTGAAAATGTTAAAAGTTCACACATAATATACACACATAATACAATGTTTGCATTTAAAAATCACCTAAGTTAACAGTCCCAAAAGGTGAAGTCGGTTGTGATTGAGATTTTGATGAGGATCCATATTTTGGTAGAGGAAAAGATGATTGTGATGGCACTGGTGATCCACATGTCAACCTTGTATGACCACTTTCCTTGCACCGACTACATGTCGGTCTCTTCTTCTCTTCACCCTTAGACGGTATACGATTGTGACTTTTTGGTCGGCCAGGTAGCCTTCTGTCCATGGCTGGTGGCAAAACTGTTTGTAAGTCATCTGATATGTCCCACTCAGAAGGATGTGGAATAGGGTAGACAATCTTGCCATAAGTCTGTCGATATATTTCTGTAGTGTAGCAATCCATAGCGTATGCACTTGAATCATCTTGGTTTAGATGAAGAGAAACTTTTATAACATGGCCACACGGATAACCAGATGTTTGCCATTTCATACAACTACACGTCTTTGCATTTAGATCGACAAGCCCATTTAAGTTATTATCCAGTACTTCAAACAAAGTGTTTTAACATGGTTCAACTCTCCATCACGTTGACTTCACAACACGTTTCGTTATCTTTTTTTCTGTCCATGGTGTAACACGATGTTCCAATGTTCCTGTAAATTTAAATAAATAATACTTAGTAAAATATATGATAAGTTACGAATTTAAAGAAATAACACCTGCATGGTTTCTTTTCTTGTAGTACCACTGTTGAATAGAGGCTCGAAAAAACTCCATTAATATAGTAATGGGTAATTTCCAGGAATGAAGACTTAGAGCGTTGATTGATTCTGCACTATTAGACGTCATGAAACCATATCTTGCTCCAAGTTGATGTACTCTTGACCATCTTTCAAACCCGACATCTTCTAGTGTTTGAGCACACTGAGGCAAAACACGTCTTAAACAGTTTATATGCTTATTAAAATCCACTTCCCGATAAGCTTTTACAGCCTTCCAGTATGTCCATTTGTGATTTTTTATACCAACAGACCTTGATTTTAAATTTCTATACAAATGAACACCACAAAGTCCATGAAAAGCATCTGGGAAACACCTTCTAACAGCGTTGTCAATTGAGTTTGCCCTATCGGATATGATTGTCAGATTGCTAATAGGACCTATACAATCCCTAAGATGCCCCATAAACCATGTCCATGAATCATAGGTTTCAGATTTGCTAACCCCGTAAGCTTTTGGCAATATCCCATTGTTAGCATCCATGGCTACTGCTAATAAGTTTACTCCAAGGTATCGACCTTTTAAATGTGCTCCGTCAACTATAATAACTGGGCGTATGCAATTAATAAACGAACGAATCTATAAAATCATATACACAAGAAATATAATCATTTAAATGTGAAATGCATGTAACTAATAAAAATGAGTCAACAAAATTATATTGATTTACTAACCGCAGCACCAATGGTGAGAAACAACAACTCAAAGCGTCCATCTCTATCTGTTTTGATATGAGTTACCGACCCATGATTTTTCAGCTTTAAATTGTGATAATAAGCCGGCAGTTGGGCAAACGATGCTTCTGGCGACCCCCTCAACAATTCCAAGGCATAAAATTTGGCTCTCCAAGCTTGAGAATATGAGATACTAATCTTGAACCGAGCATTCATGTCAGTCATAATTTCATGTCCCCTATATACCCTACCATTCAAAAACATTAACTCAGCCAGAAAACCACCCAACACCTTTTTGTTTGCCTATCTATGGTGAGGAAAAACTTGGGTTCTTGAACATGTATGTTTATCAATAAAAGTCCTAACTTGAAACATTTCACAATCTTTTATCCTCTTTGCAATCATACGCCACATACAGTTTTTGTCAATCATACACCTTGTTTCGAAACGATCTTTGCTTGATTTGTTAACTTTTAGTTGATAGCCATCTTCCACACATTTCGTATACAAAGCTATCTTTAAGTCTTCCTTTGTATCAAAATAATCATCTTTCTTGATATGAATAATTTTTGTGTAACAATCAACTACTATCTTTACAACCTCTTCTTCCGGTATCTGAAGTAATTCTGGCATATTCCAGTTATACTCCCGTGGCATTTTCTTCGAGGACTTTTCTTTGGGGATTTCTTCTTCTTCTTTTTCTTCTTCAGTGTTATATGAATTACAGAATGGATGTTCAACATGTTCATTTACAGTAGTAACTTCCTCCTCATTATCATCAACAACATCTTCCTCGGTAACGGCTGTTTCATTATCAAAATTCGGGTATTTACCAATATCAAAATCATTACACGTAGGGTCTGTTTCTTCTTCTGAAAAATCATCAAAATCTGAGTATTGATCAAGATCAAAGTCCGGGTATTGACCAAGATCAAATTTCGAATACTGACTAGTACTCACAATTTTTTCTGTTGGCTCATCATCGTCTAACTGGTCAATACGAAAACCGGAATTTGGTGCTGAAAGTTTATTGGGATTTGGATTAGGGAAAGGTTGTGGGTTTTGAGATTGTGTTTGGTATTGGAAATGTAGTGAAACAATATTTGCTTGGTGATGAAATTGTGGTGGAACCATTAAATTTTGAGCACCATAAACTGGGGTTGAAAACCTTAGTTGATTACTACCCGCTACTGACCCAACTTCACTACTTCTAGGTTCAACAACATACAATGTAACATCATCACTTGAAACACTAATGTAAGCAATGAATCGTTCAACATCTTCATTGTCGGTTAACAAATAAACTTTATCATTTCTCTGATAAGATAGCCTAAATCCACTTAGGGGCTCTAAATTCAATTTATTTGCAACACGTAACATTAGAGTTTCATAAGTTAACTTTTTTAATGATAGTTTTAGTTGAAGATTCATGGGTAAAGGCATATATTATAAAACACCATGAACATTCTCCCATGACCCTCCAAAACATAAATCTATCCAAACATGATCAACATTAGATGATTTCATTATTGTAAATTAATTTACTAAACAAACGAGCTGCGAAACTAAAACCTGTTGCCGGATGGGGAAGGATGTAGTTGGATATAGGAACTGATGTCGCCGGAGAGAGTGATAGATGGAGATGGAATGAGTTACGATTTAGGGATTTAGGTTATGAGTTGCTGCTGCTGCGTAGTTATATACCCAAAACATTTGTGTTGCGAAATTAAAACATGTTGCGAATTCAGAAATCGAGTTGCGAATTTGAAATTCAGGATTACGATAGTCAGAATCTCGTTGCGATTTACAGATTCGCATTGCGATTTACGTATTCGCATTGCGATTTACGTAATCGCATTGCGATTTACGTATTCGCATTGCGATAGTCAGAATCGCGTTGCGAATCTGGAAACTGATTTGCGATACCGGAGATCGCGTTGCGATTTACGGATACGCGTTGCGATTTACGTATTCTCGTTGCGATTTACGGATACGCGTTGCGATTTTACGTATTTTCGTTGCGATTTACGGATACGCGTTGCGATTTTACGGATACTCGTTGCGATAGTCAGAATCGTGTTACGATTTATAAGGCATTTTTGGTCACTGAGGCGATTTTCTCTTCGGTTAATTGATAGGTTAACCGAGGTTAACCGAATTAATCGAAATTTATAAATAATAAATAAATAATATATATTATATATTAAATATTAAATACTTTTTGGTTTATTCAGTTAATCTAGTCGACTAATTCAATAAAAACCGAGTTCAAACACCCCTAAAGTTAAATAATATATATATAATATATTAAATATTTAATAATTTGGTTAATTCAGTTAATTAATCAATTTCGAATCGAATTAACCGAAATTGAAATTTGAAAAAAAACATTAACCGTTAAATGATTGAATCCAAAATTAACCGACCGAAATTTCGGTTCGATCGTTTAATTCAATTTTAACTGAACAGTGAACACCCCTAGTTTTGGGTAGGTTTGGCATGAGAGCAATAAACTACATTATCGACTATATGTCGTTAAGTATTTGAAAGTATGAATTAAGTGACTTCAATTATTAAACTATGGTTGTTATTTTTAAAAGATATGAGTTTGAGCACGACGTTTGTAAAATTGTTTAAACGTTCGTTAACTAGTTGAAAGTCTATCCTATATATATACTATAATTACTCCAAATTAATAAAGAAAGAATCAACAAAAAATAGATATTTATATTTTCCGATCATAAATACTCAGTACTCGACGAGTCGAGTACAAAATAAATATCTAATTCACCCATAACGACATTAACCAAACATGTAATATACTGATAATAATAGTATTTTAATTTTAATTATTTTTTTGATATTATTAAGTAATTATAAGATAATATTTGTTTAAATTTTTCTCAGTATATTGACAACACACATCATAAATATCCCAAAAATATAACTGTTTGTACTTAAAATCTTTATATATCACTAACGTTACTCGATGAATTCAATTTTAATTAATATTAAATTTCAAATATAATCTAATATATTATTCAGTCTTTTTTTTATCGTCATCATAAATTTTTAGTAACTTTTAGTATGTGTCATCATCAACTTATGCTTTCGTTAAAAGCAAAAGGGTCCGGCAACAAGGAAAACGTGTGCCTCCCTCTCAATATTTAAATCTAACCGTTTCAATCCCACCTCTTTATTAATCAAACGGTTCAGATTCAATAAACAAAAACGGCATCGTCATCTGAAAATACCTGAATTTATCGTTTTCGATTATCTGGGCCCCACTTTGGAAAACTGAAACGTCCCACCCCCTTTCTGTTTGGTTCATTCGGCCTTTCCCTCCATATATATATTCTCTTTTGCGTCGTCTATTTCCACTCGCCATCTTTCCTTTCCTCTCGTTACTTTCGCCTCAAGCCGTCTCGAAATCTCGGTGAGCATTTTCAATTTTCACTTTGAATTATTGTGTTTTGTTGATATTAATCGTTGTTAATCGGATTATGATGATGGTGCTGATTCTCTATGTAATTTGAAGCTTCGATCACCAGTTTTTGGATTATCGTTGATATTTTCTTTTAATTTCGTCTACTGTTCGGATCAGTTGTTTCTAGCTTGTTAGCAGTGAACTCATTCTTCTTCTTCGTTACAGTATTGACTTGCATGCGAAATTGCGGTGACTTATTTTTCTTTTATGCTCTAAGGCGAGATTTTGCTCAATTTGTATAGAATGCGTTTTCTGCGGATGGGAGAATTTGATCATGCCAACTTTTTGAATTGTGTTTTTCAATCTACTTTTCGCCGTTAGTTCGGTTAAATGATTTGACTAGATTTTTTTATATAAAACATAAGGTATACAACTTGTCATTTTTAAAACAAATGTTATATATTTTTATAATATGCAAAAAGTTCGTCCAGCTGAAGCAATGCTGCTGAAATGCATATGAATATGTTTTTTTTTTTGAAAATCGATTACTAGAAATAACCATGTCATAGTAGATGACTAAATTCATTAAAAAAACGCTTAGTACAAATTCCTTTTATAGGATTTGACCAAAGTTTTTTAATGAAGCTTTTTTAGGGGGAAATGAGGACTTTTTGATTTAGCTATGACTTGTGAAGGTTTACATCGTCGTTCTTGACCTCTATTTTATTTTATTTTATTTTTAAATTAGCTTATATGTTTGAAAAGGAGATCCCTTTGGGAAACTAATGAAAGCAGACAAAACCTGAAGGCATTAACGTGTCTTTAGAAATTGTAAGATCGTATACGATTTTTTTGCTTTGCCTATCTTAGAGTTATGGTAGATGGTGCTGATATTAGCATTCCTTCGTACATGCATACAACATATATATTTTCTTTGTTCTATATGTTATTCTAACAATGCAGTGGTGAACGGAGGATATAGGTCAATATGGGAACCGCTGTTAAAGGGGTTGTCCTGTCGCTGTTCATCTCATCCCTGTTGTTTTCTGCTGTATTTGCATCCGATGGTGGGCTGATTAGAATCGGGCTGAAAAAGATGAAATTGGATTCAAACAACCGGCTTGCTGGCAAGCTTGACTCCAAGGACCAAGAGGCTCTCAGAGTATCTATTGCTAAAAAGAATCGCTTCCCTAATGATCTCAGAGGCTCTGAGGAAACTGATATTGTTGCACTAAAGAACTACATGGATGCTCAGTACTATGGTGAGATTGGTATTGGAACTCCACCTCAAAAATTTACTGTGGTCTTTGACACAGGAAGCTCAAATTTGTGGGTACCGTCAACCAAGTGCTATTTCTCGGTGAGCCCCTACATTTATGTTTACTTTGAATGCATAGGATTTAGGAAATAAAACTTTTGGCCTCGTTAATTGTGAAAACAAATGTGGTTTAGAGAACATGATTCATGTTATATTTTGGTGTAGGTTGCATGTTACGTACATTCCAAGTACAGTTCAGGTGACTCAAGTACTTATAAGCGGAATGGTATGTCTTATGCTCTGTTTACTTCTCTCGTAATTGTTTCTGAAACTTGTTTCTTCCTGATATTAATGACATCAGAACAAATTTTGAGTTCTCCATTTTATTCATTTGAATGATAACATGTGAAATTTTGATTTTTTTCAAAAAATAATTATGACCGTCTCTGAAACTATTGGATTGGTTAGTGATTGGTATTGATCATGACTGTCAATGCAAGATGTTGTTTCTTTATTTGGTTCCTGTTGGGGTAGTTCAAACTTAAGTAGAACTAATAATAAAAACTTAAGTAGAAAGATGGTTTTCTCCAAATATAACCTTATGCATGCTTCTGGGGCCTAATAATATCAAAATTATAAGTTATGAATTCTTTCTGCAATAGCTTTCTTATAGGCTTACCTCGTATATTTCATTACAGTGTGTACTTATCCCATGGATGCTAAAATAATCTAGAAGTTGGATTATCATATTTGATGCAGGGAAATCTGCTTCTATTCAATATGGTACGGGAGCTATTTCTGGTTTCTTTAGTAATGACAATGTTCAAGTTGGCAACTTGGTTGTGAAAGATCAGGTAAGTGGAGCTAATCTTCTCATCGTCTTTGATCTAGTTGTTTGGAAGTTTGAACTTGGTAACTGATGATCTATTTTCATTATCAGGAATTCATAGAAGCTACTAGGGAACCAGGTGTTACATTTTTGGCAGCCAAATTTGATGGGATATTAGGACTTGGGTTTCAGGAGATTTCAGTTGGGGATGCTGTCCCGGTGTGGTACGTTTTCATTTTTTTTTAATTTCTGTTTCAGTTTCTGTTAAGATGTTTTTGGATATTCATGAGCTTCTCAGGAACCACTTATCATACAGGTACAACATGGTCAAACAAGGTCTTATCAAGGACCAGGTATTTTCGTTTTGGCTTAACCGCGATACAAAGGGAGAAGTGGGTGGTGAACTTGTGTTTGGTGGGGCTGATCCAAACCACTACAAGGGCAAGCACACATATGTCCCTGTAACACGAAAAGGCTATTGGCAGGTTGACCTTTCAAACTTAGATTATTTTGTGTCACATAAATGCTTTCTACACACACACACAGATACACTTCATTCTTTTATATTTTGCGTAATTATCATTCCTTTTTGATATAGTTTGACATGGGCGATGTTCTTATTGGTGACAAACCGACTGGTATGTTCCTTGTATTCCCTGGTGTACTTTAAAATGGTATCTTTAATTGCTTTCTTTGAAGCAAAAACATGATTTTGTAATATATATCTGTGTTCCTGACTTAGTTTATGATGTTCAGGATACTGTGGTGGCGGTTGTGCAGCAATTGCAGATTCTGGAACTTCCTTGCTGGCAGGTCCAACAGTAAGTCCTAATGCTTCCTTGTTGGGTCGAGGGATCAGTCTTATGTTTATCTTGTTGATGTGGTTGTTAAATTTTAAATTATCCCAAGTATTTAATTATGCCACATTTTTTTGGCCAAGTCCTGTAGGTTTGTGTTACTTGTTAACCTGGTTATTGATTTCATTTCTGATTATTTGTTTGCCTTGATGCAGACTGTGATTACCATGATAAACCAAGCAATTGGAGCCACTGGAGTGGCTAGCCAAGAGTGCAAGGCAGTGGTTCAACAATATGGGCAAACCATCATCGATTTACTTGTGGCTGGGGTGAATGCTAGTTTTACTCTATTACATTTACCTATAAAGTCGCAAGTAGTTTGTATTCATTTGTTGTAACATCAGTTGTGAGACGTCTCTCTACTACTGTTTCAACCTAGTGATTGATTTTTCCTATTGCTTCCAACAGGCACAACCTGTGAAATTATGCTCCAAAATTGGATTGTGCGCTTTTGATGGTACTCATGGTGTTACGTGAGGCTCTGTTTAATCTATTTGTATTTGTTTTCACTTTAAATTACAGTGTTTCTATTTTCTCCACTTTATTCAAAGATAGAATGACACTATTAAAGCAGTCAAGTAATGGTGTTATCAAATGTATTTGTATAGCATGGGAATTGAGAGTGTGGCAGATGAGAGCAATGTCAAATCATCTGGAATCCTTCACGACGCTATGTGCCCTGCTTGTGAAATGGCAGTTGTGTGGATGCAGAACCAACTGATGGATAATCAGACTCAAGACCGCATATTGAACTATGCCAACCAGGTGAGATGTGATAGACAGATACTTGAGTTACAGTTTTTGGTTACATTCTTCCCAGTACTGATTCGTAAATTTGATACTTTTGCAGCTTTGCAATCGGATACCAAACCCAATGGGAGAATCCGTTGTCGACTGCAATAAAATTTCTTCCATGCCTCCTGTTTCCTTCACTATTGGCGGCAAAGTTTTTAAGCTTGCCCCAGAAGAGGTACTCTCTATCCTTAATTGTTCTTTAGTTTTCATAGTCAAGAAATGGCGCTCTTGTAGTTGTATCATGAAACTCTGTTTCCAAAATGTCCGACCGAAAACACATTGTGCTGACGTTGGTTTTTCGGGGTTTATGTAATCCAGTACATCCTCAAGGTTGGTGAAGGTTCTGAAGCTCAATGCATCAGTGGCTTTATGGCTTTGGATGTTCCTCCTCCCCGTGGACCTCTCTGGTATTTTAGCTTGCCATACATTCTCCGACATGTGCATTCTACTTTTCCCAAGCTCTGTCCCATATCCTTTTTGGATGTAAATCACCACTCTCGTGTTTGATGCAGGATTTTGGGAGATGTTTTCATGGGTCGCTACCACACCGTCTTCGATTTTGGTGGACTTAGAGTTGGATTCGCGGAAGCAGTATAGAAAGTGGTACAGTAGAGGACACCTATGTTTTCTCCGATGTCCATAAATTATAGCGTGTATGTATGTGTTTACCTTTATAAAACTCGTGGAAAGCTGAAGAAATTAGTGCTCTCAGCCTAGTACATTAAAAAAGCAAAAAAAGCATGCTTTGTTGGTCGTAAATGTTTCCTGTTCTTGGTCTGTTTTTACCAGAACGTAGGATTTGCCTTTAGACGGTTGTGAAAAATATTAGTACTATGTGTTTTAGTCAATGGTCATATGTACTTGGATAATTACATTCTAATGTAAAGCAACAAATTAAATGTTAAAATGTTATTATATAAGGAAAATAATATAAAAATCTAGGAGAAAAACAAACAATTTAAGATAAGAGTAAAAACTAAATTGATACAACGTTTAAATATGAATGGTTAAATTTACTTATTGTTTTGAATCAAGACTCCTGCAGAAACTTATTTGAAAAATGCTAGTGAAACTACAAGAGATGTTCAAATTCCTTTGGTATTTCATTCTTCTTACCACTTGAATGTGACAAGTTCTAGTCAGATTCCAGCTGCCTAATCCTTGCCCTCAGAGTGGCTATTTCTTCCTGCAACGCCGTAACTTTGTCCGTGCCTGAGCCACCTGCATCTTCAAACCCCTGACCTTGTTTCTTGGCAGTATCCATCGTCTTCCTTCTTATACGGAGTTCTTTAATATAATGGTGTAATTTGTCTATAATATATGCATGGAACAGCAACCCCCCTGCAAAAAAAGAGTCCCCCCACCATTACAAACACAAAGTTCATCAGACCTAAAGGAAGCCAAGAGACTACCCCAATCAAATTCAAGCTGAATGAAGCCTACAATCTATGTCACTTGAACTCGGTCTAAGTGTAAAATACGAGTATTTATCCGACACGGATATAGTTAGATTTTTCTAAGTTTTTCCATGTATTTGAGCTCATATACTAATATCCATATGCCGGGCATGAATGTCAGACATGGATACATCAAGAAAAATTAAGAGTCTGAGCAGCATAGCCTACAATAACACCTTTTGGGAACTAATACGAGAAGTAAATAACCATAGAATAAAGAAAAACAGTGTATACATTTCCGGGAATCGGATAAAAATTAAAAGCCTATTGATAGTATTAGAATTTAGAACCAGGATTCATTTCGGAATGTATCCGTCCGGTATGAGGAATGAAATGCAATTCAATAGAGCAATCTTCTCCACTTACATGAACATAATTTATCAGAATGTGAAGCGTTGTTTGTTTTACTCAATAGCTTAATATTAAACTATGTTTTAGTGTTAGTGAATGGAATAGCTAGCATTCTCCGATTGAGATTGTACAAATTGATTCGAAAGTCAATGGAGAGAGAGCCATTTTTGGTAACAAAGTTCAATCAATAAGCCCCGACCATGATAATTTCGAAATGGATTTACAATTTCATATGATATGACAAAAAACACATTGAAATCCCGAATATAAGAGAAAATTTTAGGGTTAGGGTTCCAATAAATTCAAAGTGGTAAAGAATTAAATTACCCATGAGAGTAGTTTCGAGGAGGTTTTTGGCCATGAGAATCTCGTCGGTCTGAGAAATGTTCCCATCCTCGATCCCACGCTTCTTGATCATCATCATGCTGTAAACGGACGACAACATCACAACGGCCACTGTTCCGGCCACCGTCTTCACTACTATTGGTCCACTTCCCCTCTTGACCCCCATCCAGAATCAGCAATATCAGCTTCCTTAAAGGTGTTTTGAAGGATACTGAGACGATCACCACAATCTACGAATATCACAATGAACAATAACTGGATCATCTTTAAACGTTATTTCCTTTTATTGGAAACCCACAAAAAAGATCAAAATTAAGATCGTAAAGCAAGCTTCTTCTTTTTTCAGTAACAATGGAGCCCCAACACCGTAAAGCACAGATCAGATCAGTTCAGTTCTTCATTAATGAAGAAGAAGAACCGCAATTCTCGCAAGCAACGTTGAGTCTTATATTAAAGGTTTTCGGGTTATTTTCTAGAAGGCCCCTTATATTTTTTGTTTATTCGAAATCTTTCTTTAAATTTCTTTCTACAAATTGGGACCTTGTAAGTATTGGGCTTTTCAAGTATTCAGATCAGTTTGGGCTTTTAATATACTTGAATCAACCAATTTGTTAAAATTATACGATGATACCAAAGTTTCAAATTTAGATTATACATATATACATGTAGGGGTGTTAAAAAAATCGGAATCGTTAACCGTAATCATTAACTATATAATTATTATATTTAACAGATTAATTAACAAAAATGTTAATACTAAACGATTTCGGTTAATCGATCGCTAAATATGATAATTAACGATTAAGGTTACAGACTTACAATTACAGATTTTGATAATGGTTAACCAACAGTTATCTATTAATAAATTAAATTTATAATTTATTATATTTTTACACAAATAACTTAAAATAATTTTCTATTACTTATAATTTATATAGATATTCAATAAAATTTGTATACTAATAACTTTATATATATATATATATATATATATATATATATATATTATTTTATTTTTTTTATTATAGAAACATACTTACACCAATATAATTATGTGTTTATTGTTAAGTATTAAAATATAGAGATGTACATATTTACACCGACGTAAGTATGTGTTAAATTCTATATTTTTTGTAGTATAAATTATGAAAAAAAAGTGACAAATAATTGTAATAGGTTAACCTTAGTTTACGGTTAGAAAAATCACATAACCGTTATAACAGTTAACCGACCATTTAGGCTAAACGGTACAGTTAACAGTCTATGAACAACATTATATACGGGGAGGGATACACAGATTTGTGTTAGGGGTGCGAACATAAAAAATATATTAATATTTTAAGGGATATGAGATTATAAAATCTTAATTGGTGATTTATATAAAATACAAAAAAAAATATATATATATATTGTCAAGGATTAGAGTTGAGTGTCGGTGTCCTGGCATAGGTCTCTGTGGTTCCCTCGTGATGTTCTAAAGCACGAGATCATCTGGTGGATGGCTATCTTGGGAAGGCTTCTCACGAAGGATAGGTTATTGCATATAGGACTCACTGTGGATGAGCGATGCGTTTTTTGTGATGGTCTTGAGACCAGAAACCATCTCCTTTTTGAGTGCTCGTTTTCTAGGAGTATTTGGGAGGCTATTTTGGCATAGTGTAACCTTGCCACGCGAGCAATGGATTGAGATGCGGAGCTTGAATGGGCCTCGATCTATCTCAAGGATAAATCCTTACTTACATTTACCCTTAAATTAGCTAAAAATGCTTTTGTTTACTGCATTTGAGATGAATGGCATAGAAGACAGTTTAGGGTGCAAACAGAGGCTGTCATGAGATTTTGCATGCTATTGAAGAGATTGTGGATCTGCTACAGTGAACATTAAATCAGATAGAGCTGTTACAGATTATAGGACTAAAGAGGGCATAGAGGAGAAACGAAGAATAAACAACAGAGTACTGAAAATCAAACAACATAGGCATGGTTCTCCAAGAGACTCCAATAGCTATTCACTTGGTTTTTCAAGGAAAGTTCACATCTTAAAAAAAAAGGGTATAATAACATTTAATCAAGCACTTCATACCAACAATGGCGAAGTGATATGCTTCTGTTGTCTTCAACCCAGCTGCAGTCCAATTCCCAGAAAACTTAAAGTAATCCCTGAGAAAAGTGGGTTCATTTTGGGAGGAAACAAACAGAAAAAGAGTTCAAGTTTAGCAGCAGAAAAAAAAGATGGTGGTTCAGTTAAGATCGGCTCGGTGAGACACGTTGGATCTTAGTGGATCAAGCTTGTTATCCTCCCACTGCCAAGAGAGGAAGGTCTTCGCTGCTCTGTGAAACCAGCCTCACGCAGTGCCCTTCGCTCTAAGAGCCACGACACCCACTGTTTTCACCGACGTCCCATGACTCAACTCCTGGCTTGGAACGGGCAAGCCATGGCAAAGCCACGTGGGATCCGACTCAAGGAGCCAAACCCATGTTCCACCATCCTAGTGCCCCCACTCGGGTCACAAGCTCCCGTTACAAAGCTCGGCAATAAATACTGTGGGTAGTAACATATATAAATACCTAATACCTGCTCTTACTTATCCATGTGGGATTCTTTCTTTGAGGTGCTTTTCCTATTTTATATAAATAAGTAAACTGATTACCAGAAAAAAAAGACTTGAGATGAGAACTTGATCCAAAATAATAATAAAAATATTCTTTTATATATTATTAATTGAATTTTGATAAAAAATTATGTTAGCATGACCTTCTATTAAATTTTATTTTGAATTAATATTATTAATTTGACAAATTAATATTCTATTTAATTATTTTTAATTTGGATGAAATGTCAAATGTCAAAAGTTAAATGTTATATTATATTAGATAAATTTTTCAATTAAAACTTTAAATTAAATGAAAGTCATTAAATCCTATTTAAATTTGAGAATCGAGTTTCATTGAAATCATATTAAATTTAACTTTAAATCGAAAAAATAATATTCAATGCCATCATGATAAATCCATCTCCGGCATCTCCATTTCTTAACGGATACGATGAAAAATCCAATTTTTGTTGGATGGGTGGGAATAAAAATAATAATAATTGTGAGAAAACTGGCAACCGAAGTTGAGTTTCAAAGGTTGAAGGCCCTCAAGTGGGGGATATATTGGTGTCACTGTGACTTTGCATTGTCTCTAATGTTCCAAATTTCACAACATTGCACACCCCTTCTCTAGGAGGGTGACGAAAACCTATGGAGACAAAAGAGCTAAATATGAAAGAAAAGAAAGAAAAATAGTTCATGTCGAATAAGCTTTCGAACTAATAAGTCGACCTTCCAACGATTTCCGTCTATAGAACTTTCCTTTCATCTTCAGTTGGATCAAGAAAAGACTTACATGTACATGCATCACCTGTGGGTCGAACCGTCACCGTCGTTGCAGGTTTGAAAGAAAACTGAGGTATACGATGACATAATCTACTGAGTTTGGGAGATATCCATCTATAGAACCATATCCATCGGATAGGAACCGAGGACTTAGAGAAATCCGGCATATTCTTGCCAGGGGCACACAATTCATCTTCAGATTCACTCCGCGTGAATTAAAGGAAACGAACAGAGCTATGGAAATCAAGCTAGTTAAGAGTGCATCACACACCAGAGCTTTGGAAATCAAGCTAGTTAAGAGTGCATCTCACACCGGTGAGATTTCGATATTCAAAGAAACAATACATGCAGACTCGAGCACCAGCATCGCATTGAAATTTCAGAATGTATGGATTCCAATTGCTTCTTCAGGCCAGAAAAGGAAGAGATTTGGTAGGAAAAATATGGTCGTTATGAGTTAGAGACGTAATAAAAGACTGTGAAATGACTGACCTGTAAATGTTCCAATGCATTTTGGGCACGCGGTTCAGCCATCGAAGCTTCAAAGTCGATGTAGAAAAGATAGTCGAAGTACCTGGAACCACACATCAACGGATTAATAACATTAATTTGATCACTAGTTATGATAATCCCACTGTCAAGAAAAATGTGTTTTGCTTTTTCTATCTGAATACGAGTATACTACACTTACATGACACTCCCTCTGTTAGAATCGTCGACGACCCTCAGAGGACGCCCTTTTTGTTGTCGACTCTCCATCTGAAAATTGCTCCAAGAGGCGAGATAACAATCAGAATCGTCTCCGATAATGATAAGACAAAGATGACACTGCTATAGTTACCTTTTTTAGATTAGTATCCCTTAGAGAGAACACAGCCAAGGCTTTGAATAGCATGCCAGGACCTTCTTCTAGAGTAAAAACTATACTGGTCTGGAAAGTCGAAAGATTATCAACGAAAGAGACACAATAACCGAATAAATGACCAAGTTCAAGGAGGTATACCTTATAAACCCTGTCCGTTCCGGGAATTATGGGTTCTCTTGCAACCATCTGTTCCGGTATCATGGTGCGTAGAACCACGAACAATAAAATAACAAGAAACGAACAAGATACAACACGAAGAAATTGAATTAGCACAAGAAGATCTCGAAAGTACCCGAGCAGCACCAGCAGAATCATCAGCACCAACTCTAATAATGCCTAAGTTGGTAAGGGCCATATCACATTGAGCAAGTGCCTGAAAATGAGGATATTCTTAGCAAAACTAAGACTTCAAGAATCGAAATGCCCAACCTTGGCACGAAGTTTGCACATTCGATAAAGCAAATTCCTAAGTGATAATATATTTTACATGTTAAGATTTGGCGACTTCCAGAACAAACAAGAAAATAATATGATATCGAGATATGCTCCAGAACGCGGCGGGTTGGAATTCTCTCCAGGAAGCGCTCCGTCGCCGGAACTCCGACATTGCATTGGTTCTACTAAAACTCCACAACCGCTCCGCCTGGTGCAAGTGGCGCCGCCGTTTTCCTCTCGTAATCGCCGTCATCCGCCGAATGCCTGATTTCTACATGGAAATCTCTTTTCATTTCGAAAGCTATGTAATTCCGTTCGTCGGGAAAATAGCCCCTTCCGGTACCTGAACGATCTGGAAACGCGACGGTGAATGGAAAGCCAAAGTGTACCACGCACATAACGTGATTTTCAGCTTCAGGTCACGAAAAGTCGTGGGTTCCGAAATCGACGTCGCCGGAAGTGAACAAGTGTTACCATTACAGCTCGACGAAGACGATGATGGTTTCTTCGTATGAGAAAACCAAATTTCGTAATGCCTGAGAGAAGAAGGCACAGTAGCTTCGTAAAAGAAGATAGAGAGTGGATTTCTGTAGGGAGAAAGAGTGTGGACTTTTTCCCTTCGGCTGCAACGGTGCCTCCTAGAAGATCGACGTCGTTCGTGACGGCGAAACCTGTACTGCCGCCTCCAATTACGAAAGAGAAAAGAGTACGTTCGAAGTTTGCGGCCGTCTGTTTGGTTAACGGAACAATTTCCTTTAAAAACAGATGAATTGTTACCTTTACTTGATGCGAGAGCTGCTGACCACTAAATTCCCGCCGGGCACATTTTCGGTTAAGGTAAGACGCGGCTTATTAATTTTTTGGAATGGTCAAATTCTGATTTTAGTCCCTATATTTTATTCCAAATTTAACCTTTAGTCATATATTTTAATTTGACATGGTTTGGTCTAAATGAATCGTGTAGGACCAATGTTGTTTACGATTTGTGTTTTTCAGACAACGATTGGTCTCTAATTGTCTATTGGGGTTTTGCAGGTTGCAATTCCGGTTGTTCCGACCGTAAGGGGTGGTGATAACGTTCACGAAATTCGCCGAACTCCAATCGACGGAGCAGTTCTTCACCCCACTCTCGAGTCCTAGATATTTTTCCAGTAGTGGAGTTGGAAGAGGCCAAACAGAGGATGATCTGAAGTTGGATAAATATAACTCATCGTTACCGTCATTGTCGACGACGGCTTGACTGAGGTGAAGCAATAGTCGATCATTGTCGACTAGCAAGCAACAGCAACGGTGGAGTTCTTCAACGGCGAAACAACCGGATCCTTTTGCTATCCCTAGTGGATATACTTGGACCAATGTGGATGATAAGTCCGGCATTCATTTGTAAAGCAAAGCCAAGCTTACTCAGAGACAAAGGAGAGTGTATAGCGAATTGCGAGATCTCAAAGAGAACACATCCTACAAGTGGTCCTTCTCTATTGCCAGGAGAAAAAACCTCATTATCGTTCACCCTTTGCTGTTTTCTTTTTTCAGAGTTTCTTCATGCGCATGCCATTGTCAATCATCACCAACTGCTACTAGCTTTTATGATCAAACCCTTCATCGCTTTTGGGGATACGTGAATCTATTGAGTGACTTCCAGCGATAAAAGAGAATATTGTTCTCTCTAAAAGATTCAAATACGTTTACACAACCCATTTTCGGGATCTAGTTCAAGAATCTGCTTAGCTGCCATTTCGGTAGTATCGACGACTTTATGAACTCTACAATTCAACTCTTTCCCACACGAAAACTTCGACATTTTCTGTCAAAACCCTTGAAAAGGAAAGGGAACGTGTAATTATGAGGCTTAACATTCTGTCTCAACATGTGTAAATACAATGGAATCCCATTTTTGGACCAATAAGTCCTAGAGTAACCTTTGATCCAAAGGAGCACACTTTTCGGTTCGGCAATTTTATCGAACAACTTGAGTGCATGGACCATATCACCGGATTTTTCTCACTCAAGAGGAAAAGGAAGAAGAATCTCGGAAGCTCTATCATATAATCTGATTATCAGACTATCTTGGACAACACAAATCTCCAACTTTTAAAAATATTTCTGAATCCGTCACTCCTTCGATTGATGAGATGTTTGGAAAATCTTATTCATGTAACATCTATATAACTTAATCCTAATAGCCTCTTTTATTATATTGACAATTGTACCAGCCGAACGAATCGACCCTCTAAAATACCTATGATTACGTTCTTCCCAAATGAAATACACAAATCCAGTCCAAGCTACTTTAAGAATTTACACTTCATATTCATGACCATCCATCGAAGATTATCATCCCAGCAGTGCAGCTCCGATTGCTGCAACCCACAAGAGTGCATTACAGCACCCCAAACCTCCCTCGCATAGGAACACTCCAAGAAAAGATGATTTCGAGATTCCATCCCAATCTCACACAACCCACACACATTATCAGCCACCATACCAAACCGAGCCAATCTGTCCCTTGTAGGCAATCTGTCAAGAATCAACATCCAAGAAATTAAGGAAAATTTTGGAACATGAGCCGGAAACCATACAAGCCGATGCCAACTAACCTTCTCCTTCCTTTCCCGAATATTATCCCAAATCCAACCACCTTTAATCTGCAGCCAATTAGCAAAGGATAAAACAATCGCCTAGCCTCCTCACGCATCTTAATCAGTTTTCTAAGGATTCAGCTAAAATGAGGTCTGCATTCAACATTCGAAAAGTCCACAAATTTAACCACTTTAAGATACTGTAATTTTATGCTTTTGCTTACTTGCTTGGAATGTGAGGCTGTAGTTGACATGACATAACAATTACGATCAATTTGCATATTTAAAGATCAAAACTTGAACATATAAAAGTAAAATTGTAGTGATCAAGACTCTCCAACTTTTATAAAACTAATTTTAATCAAAATTCCACGAAAAATGCATTTGAACAAGTTATTTGTTTGGTTTGTGACAGAGAGTAGCCGGTTGCTAAACTTTGTTCAAATGGTGGCGTCAATATGGGAGAATATTTTTGAGACATATTTTACAAGTTCTGTGATGATGATAGTAGAGCACTTTCATTGCAATGAGGGTAGGATCTGTAGAGTTGGTGATCGGGATAACTTTTTTCATAGCAAAAAGTGTGGATCTTGCAAAACAATCATTGTTTGCAAGGAGAACTTTATGCAGCATCACTGTCCTATATGTTAGGAGTACCGCTATAATGAAACGTGGTCAGGCGATGCACTGCGAATGTTACTATGAGATGATAAAGCGAGACGATTATCGTTCTCCAGTATGCTCAAAGTCAGTCTAGAATCTGGAAGAGGATAGACGAAGAGATCGAGGCAACTATAATGCCAGAGCAACGTTTGGATCCTATGCGATGACTGCCCCTCCGGTACTCACCCGTCGAAAAGAGCACGACGAGGAGCCAAGCAAGTGAGTTCGAGGCATCCAAGATGGAAGATCCGAAGATGAACTCTTGATTGCATGTTTGATCATTTAAACTTGTATTTCATCATTGGATTGTTGATGTATCACTAATTCACTATAGAATATGATTCAAATTACTGTGGTATTTTTTTATATTTTTCGTATTAGTTTAGTCCCCGAAAATGTTTAATTGCATCATCTTAAACCTCAAACCTCAACTTAAAACCCTAGATCTTAAACCCTATATTCCAACTTAAAACCTCAAATAATAGTAAATATTTTAAATATTGATGCAATTAAACAACTACGAGAACTAAATCAATGCGAAAGTAACCCTAATACAAAGAAATAAATACGTTAATAGTAACTTAAATTCTATATGATGAGTGTGATATTGTAAGAAAGTAACAAATGCACGATCTATATAAATGAAATCAAAGTTATATAATTTTATTCTCTTCGATTGTTTAGCAAGCACCAGTTATCTACCGGTAGAATAGTACTTTGCCATGGTATAGACCCGAGTTCGATTTCCGACAGGTGTGTTTCTTGAAGTAGTGATGATTACTGCACTTATAGTGAAGGTTGTGTTCTTCGCGATCGTATAATTCAAGACGATAAAATAATGCCCCATCTAAACTTTCAAAAAATTCTCTTCAGTTATTTTAGAATATTAAAAATAATCAGAGTCAAATTTTAAAGAAATTAACTTTTAAAAACAAAAAATAAACTCGATTATTAAGACGGAAGAAGTAGTAGGACAGAGGAAGTATTTATTAATAATAATTTAAATTCTATATGATGAGTGTGATATTAAGACACGTACACCATTGTATTCCTTATAAAATGATTAGTGAATCAAACTTGTTAATATATTTTTAAGAATCAAATCCCACTTGAATGATAATGTAAGAAAGTATCATATAGTCAATCCATATAAATGAAATCAAAGTTATATAATTTTGTTCTCTTCAATCGTTTAGCAAGCACCAATGATCTAGCGGTAGAATGGTACCCTGTCACGATATAGACCCATATTTGATTCCCGACTGGTGCATTTCTTGAAGTAGGGATGATTACTGCGCTTACAGTGAAAAGATTGAATTCTTCATGATCTTCCATTCAAGATGACAAAATAATACGATAGAAGAAGTGTTTGTTATTAGTAATTTGAATTCCCTTTGACGAGTGTAATATTAAGGTAGATTGAATTCTTCATGATCGTCTATTCCTGAAACCTTACTTAAGCGGAATCAAGCTGCTTACCACTTGAACCAACCCGTCCAAATTTAAAGAATTTAACTTTT